GAGGTGAAGTACATAGGTCAAACTAGTAGGTCAGGGGTAGTCAGATTGTCAGAACATAAGAATTTAGCTAAGGTGAGAATGGTTGACCCCGAGAAGATAAGTAATTTAGAAAAAAGCTCACCAATTGCAATGCATGCATTAACACACAACCACACAATAGGGTGGGAGAGGGTTAAAATTCTAAAAAGTAATCTAGGTAGGTGGAGAGAGAGGTTGATTACTGAATCCTTGTTCATTGAATCTACACCCAACACATGCAGTAGGAATGATTCATCACTCATACCCGAAATATGGAAAATATTACTACCAATCAAATCAAGTGAAAATCAAGTGAAAAACAATGGAACTATATAAATGAATTTAGGAAGTCGTGTGATTACCTTGATATGATTATGAGTGGCAATAATTTGTGTTCGAGACGTCATCAGTAAATATTACTGTATAACACTGTGAGACTTTATCAAAACAAAATTTACCCATAATGGAATTCAAACTGTGAGTTACTGTAATCGATATTTGAAAGAGTAAAAAACAAAGAACCAAGACAAAGATTTAAATGCTGACAATAAATTCATGATATCATTTGACGTATCTTCTTTATTCACCAGTGTACCACTTAAGGAATCAGTAGACTTTGTATGCGAAGAACTTATAACTGGAAGCATCGATATTGGCATTCCTGTGTCTTTTATAAGGGAGGTCTTGAAATGCTCAATGAATGTTCACTTTTTATTCAGTAAGGAACTATAGAGACAAATCGATGGTGTGGCAATGGGGTTACCTCTATGATCCATTTTAGCCGACATTTCCTTTGGAAAACTAAGGAATGGGCCTTTGAAAGATGTAACTGATGAATTGAAACTCTACTCTCCGTATATGGATGATACATTTCGGATTATGAAAAATGAGGATGAAGCAAAGAACACCCTGGACTAATTTGACGGTGTTCATCCTGAAATAAATTTTACCACGGAGAAAGAAAGAGACTTTAGTATTTCATTCCCAGACGTCTTTATGACTAGAAAAGGGGATGGTACAATAACGAGAAGTGTATATAGGAAACCTTCATCAACTGACTGTCAGTATACTCATCTACTCAGCTTTGTACCTTTTAAATACGAAAACGATCTGACAGAGTGCTTGGTCCACAAAGCAAGATAAATATGCTCTGATGAATGTCTTAGATAATTCTCTTTTCCACACATTTTCTGCCTGGAAATGAATAAGTACCTATTAAATTGTTCCGTAGAAATTTGATGAAATGTTTAATAACCCCAAACGATGAAACATCCAGAATATTTTGGAGGAGTTGATTATAATATAGTTTGTGCTTAACATAATTGGCTGTTAATTCAGTGGTAATAAAGGTTGTATACTTACTTGAAATCACAAATTTTAATAATCTATTCAGTGAACGCCTTCTGGCAATTAGTCTACATAATCGTCGGCCTGCTGATATGATTTTGAGAAATTTAAAATACTTGAGGAAGATAGAAATATGAGTCGTTGCATTTTAAAGAAGGGATTTGTTGCTAAGATTGTCTATTTTCCCCTGCAGTATAAGTCTCATCCATAATTTCGTTGGCAAAATTAGCAATTATTGAAGCCACTGGAGCGTCACAAAGTAGACGTTACTGCTCTATAGCTAAACTCAAGAGGTGTATACGAAGCCAAGATGTTTCTCGTCAACAAAATAAGAAATAATGACCTTGTCATATGTAGTAGCTTAATTATGTGTTTCAGAGTGTCTAATTAACGATGTTGCATCAGATTCACCCATGCTAACAATGCCGATTTGATGGCTTTTTTAAAATTTCTACTCATAATCGTGAAAATTGTACAAACAAAGACTATGATGGTCGTTGTATGTTCCAAAATGGTCTTCAATTCATCGTTCAGTGGTGTTAAAGTATCCTCCTAATTACTGCGAGGTATCATTTCATCAGACAAAAGCATTACAATTAATTCATTCATAAATAGGAAGTCAGATAACGAAGGTATTTAACTTCCATTGACTTGCGACCGTCTTGAGGAGCTCAATAGGTTTTATACTTTCTCTAATTTAACATTAATATAACACATATCAAGCATCTTTTGATTATTTTCATGATTTCATTATTACATCCTAAGAAATTTCCCTGTGCGTCGGTGGCACATTGGTTAGGACTCTCGCCGACCATGCACATGGTCTGAGGTTCGATCCCCTGCGGACGCACACCCGATATCTGTGGTTGGCCTGTGAAATTTGGGCTACCGATATCCATGCTGAAAATACCATGCTTGTACTGAAAATACGGTGTGGTATCAAGCTGCAATCAAAAAAAAATTAATGAAGAGTTTAATACTACTGAACAGTTGCTGAGTGATAAAGATTACCCAGAAAAAATTCATTGATAAGAATATGAATCAAAAAGCAACGCAGGCCAAAGTTTCGAACTTCAATTCCTCGGTGGTGGTAACACACCAATGAGATATTAAAACAACGCCTAAGAAATACAGCGGTTAAACGAGCATTCAGTTCTGCTGAATTATGTATGCTGTCTTTTCTATACCAAACCCCCCCCATTTCGCTTTTGGGAGTTAAACATAAATTACCTAGTTTCGCCTCTTCTTTCTATGTGCATCTATCAATTTGACTGCTCCTGTGAAGTCAGGTAGATTTGCCTATACCGTACAATTAAGCGTGTTTATCGTCAGACTTCCGAACACCACCATCCTGCATAATGGTTATGTAAGGGAGAAACAAAATCCATTTTTATAATTCCATACTGTCTCATCTTGTACATACAGAATACAAAATTAATGTTAACAAAGCGACTTTCAAAGTCATCTACCGTATACCGACTAAGTAAGCTTTATTTCACCTCAAGACTTCGTCTATTACACATATTACTTAGGCTGGCTGTTGGAATCCCCCCTTAATTAAGACACCTAAATTATGAATTCAAAAGAAGTAGTTGGTTTTGACCCTTTTCCTTTGCGCATTGGCCATCAAGATTTCAATGATCCTCAATTTGTTATTGTAGAGATTTCCTTAATTTTCTTTGATATTCTATTTATTCTATTACATTTTTATGCTGCTTATAACTTATGCAAACTTCCTTCAACCGCGATAATTCCACTGTTATCTTAACAAATCGGTAATATTGATGAAAAAGCACACCAATATTGTTAATGTCGATTATTCTAGAATATTCTGTGTGTACGAATATACGTATGTATATAATTGTAGAGTATCCGAGGATTGGAAGAAAGGATACTTATTCAAACTACCAAAGAAAGGAGACCTAAGTCAATGCAAGAACTGGCGCGGAATTATGCTCCTGTCCATCCCAAGCAAAATACTAAGCCGCATCGTCCTGGAGAGAATCGAACATGCCAACCTGGATGAAAAACTTCGACCGGAACAGCCTGGATTCAGGAGAAACAAGTCATGCATTGATCAGATCGCCACATTACGGATCATCATTGAACAAAGCTTGGAGTGGCAGTCATCTCTCTATCTCAACTTCATCGACTTTGAAAAGGCCTTCGACAGCGTCGATCCAGAGGTGATTTGGAAACTACTTCGCTACTACGGGGTGCCACCGACAAAAATACATCTCATCCAACAGCTATACGACAATGCTGCACGCCAAGTAATCCACAATGGGAAACTTACAGAACTCTTCGAAGTGAGGACAGGAGTAAGACAAGGCTGGCTGCCTACTATCGCCAATGATTTTCCTGATTGCAGTAGACTGGATAATGCGACAAACAGCGGGCAATGAGGAAACAGGCATAAAATGGACACACACAAAAAACTTGGAGGATCTGGACTTCGCCGATGATATATGTCTGATTTCCCACAAACTGGAAGATATGCAAGCGAAAAGCAACAAGTTGGCAGAAGAAGAAGCATCAAAGGTAGGAAGGACTTCCGATGAACATAGATAAAACAGAGGTGATGAAAATTCCTGGGCAACACCACCAACAGCAACAACAACAACTGACAACAATCAGCATAAATGGAAGGAACCTGAAAGAAACAACCTCTTTAACCTACCTGGGAAGCATCGTTCCAACTACAGGTGGAACTGACGAGGGTATCAAAGCAAGAACCGGAAAAGCAAGACAAGCTTTCACTGCTCTCAAGTCTGTGTGGAGGTTAACAGCACTCAGAATCAAAAATAAGATCCGGATTTTCAACTCCAATGTGAAGTCAGTCAGTGCTACTATACGGATCAGAGACTTGGAGCGTCATAAAGAGCATCTCAAACAAACTACAAACCTTCATCAACAGTTGTATTCGCTCAATACTCAAGATCAGATGGCCGACCAGAAAAGATCAGCAACAGGGATCTCTTGGAGCGAACCAACCAGTAATCGATTGTGAAACAAACAGGCAGGAAGAAATGAAGATGGATTGGCCATACTCTGAGGAAACTATCAAGTGACATCACTAGACAGGCCGTGGGGTGGAACCCGAAATGGAAGTGGCGAGTTGGTCGTCCAAGGGTGATTTGGAGGAGGTCATGTGAAGAGGAGATGAAAACATGTGGGCAAACTTGGAGCCAGGTGAAGACTCTAGCAGAAAACAGAACGCAATGGAGACGCACGGCTGAAGCCCTATGTTCCTGTAGGAATTAAAGGATACAATAATAACAATATAATTGTAGAGCCAGAAGAGGAAATCATCGAAAAGAGTATTCTTTCTCAAATTTCTTCTGTATATATATATATATATATATATATATAATTTGCAGAATAGCGATTTGAATATAACAGATTATTTAAGGCACTTTACAACACAATCTTTAAGGTGAGAGTTTATGAACTTGATGACAAAATAAAGTTTTTTAAAAATGGCATCAGAGTTTTTCAATCTCACAAGTGACTGATAAATCGAACTGTCAGTTACTGTAATTGATTTTTGAAAGAGTGAAGAACCAAGACGAAGTAAGATCCTCAGTAAGAAAAAACAACCGACCGAGTGTTGAGTACATAAAATAATCTGAGTATTAAAAGTCTTCTTCCTCTCTGTTCACAGAATAATCGAATGCATTGCTCTCATTACTTTCATTTATGTGATTCACGCTGTTGTCATTATTATTAGTAGTATTAATATTATTACTGTGTATATGATTATTCATGTGTATCTGACGTTTATTCAACACACGATTTAAGCCTTTATTATTATGACTAGCAAAATGCATATTCAAATCGGTTATTGGGGATTGTTTATGCGTATTGACACTGACTAAATTATTTGGTCCATTTCTTTTGTTCAACTGTGGAAGGGATTGATGTATTTTCTTCTAAAAAAGAGAAAAGAAACAAGGTGCAAAAACAGCAGTGATGATGAAAACTGTTGTGGAATCTTAGAATCTTGAGTTCTGAAATGTGATCTACTTTAGAAATAACAAAACAGACACCCTTACTCGTCTAATTTAGGATCTGCTGAGATTATTAATACTGTTCCTATGGGGTCCAAGTGGAAAATAGGCAGCCGTTCAAAAGCGAATGTTCATTTCACGCTGTTCTCTTGCAGTCCACTTTAGACTAGCTCGGAGATTGCCCTTAGACTCTCACCTTCTCCTCTAGGTCACTGTAAAACCCAAGCCAAACTCGTCCTTTTACATTTGATATTCCGATCGATGGACCGGCACACGATGTCACCCGATGGTCCCCTCAACGTGTATTTGATCCACCTCCATTTTGTTGGGTAGTAGATTCTTGATCAATTCGTCCTCAGAGATTTTTGCTGCTAATTATTTCTGGCCAGTGATTTGATCTTCAGCATAGGGGGCAGCTGTTGACAGAGGTCTGCAGTAGCCTGTTGAAATTGCTTTTTGCGACGTGCATGGCAAGATCCTCGCCCATACACAAGAACTGACTGACTGACAGACATTGGTCTTGAACAGAACGCGGATTTTGTTGTTAATGCTTGAGGTGGAATGCAGCAGATTTCCAAATCGATTTCACAGTGTTGAAGGTCTGTTTCTTCCTTTTGATACTGACCATCTTCGACATTCTCATCCATGTCATTTGTGTTTATAAGGATGCCGCACAGATAAATGAAGGAACTAACATTTTTCGGATTTCTCCCGTTGTTAGTGAATTCCGTTCACTGTTTTTGTCGTTGGTTGGGTGGCTGGCTGGCTGGTTATCTTCATCACCTCCTTCTTCTCTTTGCCTAGCTGAAGTCGTGTCTTTGTCGTTCCTTCTGCCAACAAACTAATGCAACAAATCAGGGATCACCAATCCCTAGAATTGAGTAAACTTGACCGAATGACACGAGAACGGCATTGTTTTTACAGTCCTTGTGTTCTGAGTGGAAACCAGAACTTCATAATTTCAGATTACAGTAACTGTGACGTAATTTTATTTCATAGATTTGGGTTGATAGACCCAATCCCCACCATCCGTTTTCCTTTCCTGGCTTACTAGTAGTCAGACAAAGTTTAGGCATACATCGAACGGGTATCGAACCTTTACCTCGAGTGTAACTGGAGAGCATTTTACTATTGAACTACCGAATAGCTTGACTTGCCTTCAATTCATTTCGAATAATTGGCAATCTATAAACAGATAATATTACTGATTTTCTCTCTATAAGGTAATAATTAACTCATTTTAGTAGAGCTGAGCTGCGGCTGTCTTCGGCAACTACAGACCAGGCCAATACCAATTCAAGTTGGGAGATTCCAAGTGGGTCATCGGTGCTGAGGAGTCGTAGACTATGAAGAAACAGCTTTTCTGTAATCCATGGTTAACAGTTAGTTGCTTCTTTGGTGTGTGTGTGTGTGTGACATCCTCAGAGCACCGCCTCTTCTCTTTAAATATTTATCAGCGTAAGAAGTTGCATAACTGTCTTAGTTAGAGTGCTTCGAAAGACTCCAACCCCTTATTTGATTTGTCTTCGGTACAAATGTGATAGCGTCTATTCAGAGATTACTTTTTCTACTGGTTGGGAAAAAACTTCAAAAGTTTGTTAACTATGCATTCCACTATGGTTCTGTAATGAAATGATCCTTTCAACGATCCATCCATTTCTTTAGACTGTCTAAGTGGGATAACTTACCTTCTTATCCAACAATAATTTTAAAGTCGTCTGATCAATGAATATTGTCTCAGAGTAGATTTTATACATATTTTTGGACATCTACTTTCATGTCTCTGATCAGTCACCATCACATAGTTATCACATTTTTTCGAATAAATAACAAAGTCCATTGTCCACTACAGCACTGGGAGACGCGGGTTTGAATCTCGCAAAGGACATGAGTTCCTTCAAGACAGGTTACAGATACATCTTCCTGACTGTTGAGTGCTAAATAGCACGAAAGCTGGGTCAGGTGAGGTTTCTGCCGACTACCTGTAACCATCTAATATCAACCATCCAAAGTTCGCCGTGACGGCCAGCTACCTAGTGACACGGTAGCCACATCTCAAACTTGACTGATAGAATTCAGTCTGCACCAAAGATAAGAAGACTAGATACAGCACACTAGTTATTGACTAGTGTCCAATCAAAAAACATTTCTCAAGAGTCCCAAACTAGGATAGCACAGCTGTCTAGTACTCCCAGGTTCTCCAATGGTTCTCTAACAAATGTGAGTTTATGATGAAATCCTGAAACCAATCAAATCCCTGCAAAAGCAACACTTGACTCGCAAAAAATAATCTTATGCTCGCTAGCGGCGACGACCACTTCAGTGAAGAGTCTCTTTTCGATGGCGAATCCATTCAGTCAGTGGTACAATCGCATTTATATATATAATTATTTTGACAAAATTTTGCAGTTGAATACACATCAGTTGCAAGCGGAGCCTGATAATATCTCTTGCGACTAAAATCTATAGAATATGCAGTCTTGAACCAATAGAAGACACTCAAGAATCGCCATCCATCACGCCTCATAGATAAACATACAAAGCCTAAATTCAGCAAAGAACAACTCTCCTCTGCACCAAAAAAGATGCTTTACATAAACGTGGCATTCAAAGGAAACCTTCTGGTTGACGTCCTAAAGACGAGAGTATCCAACACCCTGAAAAGAACATTCTCTACTGCTACATTTCGACTGGTATTCGCATGCCCCCCATTGTTCTTCAGTGACTCCAAAGATAAACTATCGTATTTGATCACTTCTATGTGTATCTACTAATTTGATTGCTCATGTAGAGCAACATATACAGATCGAAAAGCTAACAATGGATCAATAAGGAGTGCTATCATTGAACATATATTCAAGACTGGTCATCACTCAATATGTAGGGAGTATTCATTCAGTTATCTATAAAGTCGAAAGAAACCGGTCGAAAACGGTAAGCTTGTGTATACTGTGCATTATTGAGGCCTTAGCGACCCAGATAGAAAACCCTGATTTGTGTAAACAGAAGAAACCTCTCCAACCCCTTCTTCTACCTTAAGTATAATTCCAAGTTCTACTAATTTGTTAATAAGACTTTTTTAATTTTTTAATTTTGTATGATGTCTTAGTGACATCTTTTTCTTAACGAACCCTTTGTTTGCTCTTTTTACCTAATATATAATTTATTTTAGACACGCGTCTCCATACTCTTTCTCTTATATCCTATTTTTCTGGGTGTCTTTCATATTACGTAACACCTGTCAGTACTTAGTAATCTTCACCACCACTCCTAGTTACAATTTAATTATTCATCACATTTTTGAAGACGTAAATAATAACCCTGACTAATTTTTATTCTTTTGACAGTCCTGATGTACACATACATAAACACACACAAAATAATTACATATATAAATGCGATTGAATAGGTAAGTGAACGAATTTGATGTCGAAAAGATACTCTTCTCTGAACTTTTTGTTCCCAAACATTCTCAATAATTGGTTTGTAAGAATTAGATTTGTTTTTACGAGTTCATCAGGGATATTTATCAGTTTGAGAACCATTAAAAACCAGAGAGTACTGGAAAGTAGTTTCATCCTAGCCTGGGAATCATAGTCAGTACTCACCCACTGGGGCTCGAAGTATAGTGGCCTTCACTCCGAGGAATTCAAAGGTATGATAATCTCCTGAATTCTATCGTCACAAGAGGGTGGACACAAAACATAAATTCACCCATCATCTAGTCATTATAGACATACCGCTGTGTATTGTTTGAAACAAATTAATAGAATGCAGATCACATTCGAGACACTGTCAGAAATCTTTGAAATAAATAACCATAAAAGTTAGGTTTATCAAAAAGACATAAGAAAAGTAAATAAATTCACCAAAAAATGTGAAAGATATGCTAAAAAACTACCCAGACAAATCAAGTAAATTATTCAGCTTTATTAAAGCATTATAACCGGTTACAATAAACTCAGACGAACAAACTACTTCATACTATTTAAACCTAACAATACAGTTTGGATGAGGCAGTCAAACACTTTCGAATCTACTATCATTACTCTTCAGTCGACTGACTGATAATTGTGAGCCCAATGTAATCACGAATATTTCTCCTACCTACCTACCTAACTAACTACATGCAGCAATTTCATTGTGATTATGACCACCAGTCCACGGGAGTATCGAGCAACAAAAGTTTTAACATGTGATAGAAGTGTCAACGAAACATGAATAGTGTGAAGGTGAGTAAAGTTGTTGGTAATGAGAGGATAAATAACTCGGTAATGACTTTGAAATACACGATTATGTGTATACAAATCGTTTGTGAATTACGATAAAATCATAATGATAAAAATTAAGGCTAATGAAAACAGAGAAATAGATCGATGTCACATGCGAAAACCCAACACGAAAGATTCTCTGAACAACAGTAAAGCGGACAGTAAACACAACCACATTTAGTTGTAAAAAAATAGACTAAAAGTGACATTTAAAATGGCAGGCTGTTTCATTGTCACAGGATTACCATTTTTTAATGTTCCGTGTGGAAAACAGGGCTTCAAGCTGGAGCTTTGACATTTCAGTAGCAGTGGTGTTTATTTTCACGGGGTGGGGTTGCTAGCCTCATGCCCAACCTTCCCTCTTTGCTGATCTTATTATTATGTTTAGGAGTGCGTCGACCGGGATTAGTGAGCATTCTACGGCTGTTCCACCGAAGTCAACAGTCATAGGATACAAGCTATAAATTCTCTGTCAGTGTGTCCTCTGTTAATAGTTCTTTCATGTTTTACTTCATACTACTTACCAGTGGTAAGTAGTATATTCACTATCTTGCAAAGGATATGAGTAAAACCTGGGTATTATTATTATTGTTTCCTTTAGTTCCTAGAGGAACATAGAGCTTCAGCCAACCGTCTCCAAAACGTTCGGTT